ACTATAAGACCCACAACCCAAACTATTCACGAACGTGCGCGTCGACGGTGCCCGGCGCAGCGTCGACCGGTGACTGAAAAAAATGTCGAACATCCTTGTCGACGAAATGGAACGCATGCGCGACCCTTCCATCTAGGTGCCCCTCGCTCATCCATTTCATGACCTTCTGCTCCTCCCTCGAGAAGATCAGTAGATTCTCCTACTCTTCTTCATCTTCCTTTTCTTCTCTCTTTTATTTTCTTTCTTCATTCGCGTGAATTCTCTATAATCATAGATATATATTCAAACTATAAGAAGAAAGGAAGAGATAATCAGAAATAAGTAAGCAAGAAAGCAAACTAATCTTATAGCTCTTCTTGGGATCTTGTCGCTTTCGTTTTTTATTGCCAATGAAGTGCCACGCATGCTTTCTTTTCTCTTCCTTTTGAGACATACATATACAATACATAATATACAATACATATATTTCAATTTAGTAATCAATATATATATACAAATACATATATATACATATGTTATGTATGAAACTCGTTTAAATTATTGAACGCAATAAGTAATAAACAATAAAATTTATTATTTATTATGAATTTTATTTTTTTTTTTTATGTAAAGAAATATTTTGATAAATTATTTTTAATTATGATTTTTAAGATTTAATAAAAAAAATCTGAAATAATATTAATGTTAGTTATACATTCAAATTTCATTATATTTAAAAATAATATTTATCTCTATTTGTATACATATATATATACATATATTTTTCTATTTTATCTCATTATTTATTTGTAAGACAAATAAAATATATGTATATATTAAATCTTTTAAGATTAAATTTCTGATTCTTTTCATTTCAGCTTCCTTCCCGCTTTCTTCTCTTAGAGTCTTTTTCAATCTCTCTCTTCCTCTAGTAGTTTATATATGTGTCTATTTTCAGTTGGAATTCAACACGAGATTTTGCGGTAGAGACCGTATTATATATCGCTTCTAATAAAAGTCCATTAATCACGAATCAATATAAAAAAACAAATTATATTACTTTTTGTAAAACAATTATTTGTTTTTTTGCAAATATGGCATTATATTTACGATTAAATAAATAAAATACAAAAATCAAAAATAATAGCACATAATTTTACACATTCACTTTATTAAAACAAAAATCATTTACAAGTATTTTCAACAAATAAAACTATGTTTATTAATAACATATTGAAAAATATTGATATCAATTGATATTGAAAAATATGATACAATATATGATTTAAGATTTGAAATTTTATTATTTTGCTATTTTTATAATTTATAATCTCATGTAAAGATAAAATCATTTCTATTATTGAATATAATTATTAATTAGTAATAATTAAAATATTTTTTTTATTACTGTTCATCTAGCAATATTGCTAATTGTTCAGAATTTGTAACAGGTAAAGAACACGTACAATGTTTGCATATATAAGCTGTTGTTCGATTATTCACAGGCTTCATATTTCTGAAATGTTCATTTTTACGAAATAATATGCTATTTGTTTTATCATGATCAATTAAGAAAAGTATCCTTCCTGGTATTAAACGTTTATATATAACGCTAAGTAAATCATCAGTATCCTTGGCATTCCGTTTACCAACCACATAAATCTAAAATACGAAATTTACGCAAAATTTCATTTCAAAAATTTATCAAATTTCTGAAAATAGTTAGCATGCTCAATATAAGTTTTTTACACATACCTGTGTTGCATCATCATGATAACGTATAAGAGCCGATACTAGCTGTGGAATTGAAACAGGTCTTTTAATTAGTAAATGTCTAAATATTCCAAAAAGACGCACAGCTTTATCCTTAAGTTCACTACGTCCCAAATAATCTGCCAATCTTAATAAATTTTCAGCAGCAATTGAGTTACCGGATGGTTCTGCTCCGTCACAGGCTATACATAAGATTATAAATCTTAAAATACATGTATATCCGATCTTTCTCTTTCATTCATGTTGCAAGCTAATATTAAACCATAATCAACAATCGTAACCATAACTGTCACTAATCTGATGAATTTAATAACTAAACATAATGAAACTGAATAAATCTGCTATAAATATTTAAATATGCTTATTTCTACTGTAGAATATTGATTTTTTTAATTTCATAGTATAATATAATATTGAATTATTACGCATAATTACATATAATATAAAATTATAAAAATTTTAATTATCAATTCAAAAATATCTTCAAAATATATTTAAAAATACCTTCCTTAAGTCTGAGAATTATACTAGGATCATTCGATGTTGTCGAAAAATATCCACCATTTGTTTCATCCCAAAAAAATTGATCTTGAAGATCTTGTAATTTCTCAGCAAATTCGAGCCATTCTTCATTTAAATCAGATTCATATAAATCTAACAATCCTTTTATCACAAATGCATAATCATCTAAAAAACCTGGTATAGGTGTACTCCTAAACATAAAATATCAAAATCTATATTATGTATTATATAATTTAATAATAATAACAATATTCTTACATTTGTGTAATTATATTTTTTTCGTCGCGATAACAACTATGGAGTAATATATTTTTTGTTTTATCAAAAAGATGTCGTTTAATAAATTTTATAGCATCTACTGCATACTCAATATATTGTTTGTTATTTACAGCTATTCCTCCAAAAGCTAAACCACTAATCATGAGACCTAAATTCAGATTTCTTATTATTTAATAATCAGACTATTATGTATATATTAATATACTATATATCTAACTATATATGTAAATATATATTATAAATATATTGTTCATAAGTACCATTCCATGCTGTAATTATTTTATCATCTAAATGAGGTCTCGGCCTTGTAGATCTAGTTTTATATAAAATAGAACACGCTTCCATCAGATGCATTTTCACTTCTTCAACTGGAAGATTAAAATGCTTAGCTGTTTCTTCAATTTCATTATACATTATTAATACATTTTTTCCTTCAAGTTCTCCATGTGGATCCTAATAAATAAAAAATTAATCATATGAAATAAGAATCAAAATGTCTTTATAATTAATAAAAAAAAATTTTTTGTAAATAAATGTAATAGAATTTTTGTAGAAAAATATTTTAAATAAATATATATTTTTCTTTCTTTCAAATATTTTTCACAATAATTAAACTTCAAAAAAAAACTTTTAATTTATTTTATAAGAATATTAAAAAAATATTAATTGATTTTAAAGAATATAATATTTCAACAAAAAATTAAATAAATATAATATCATTATAGTAAATGTAATAGATATAGAAAATAACATATATAATAATTATATTATAGTTATATTATAAACATAATAATTAAAATAAATATAACAATAAAATATATATAATAATTATTATATTAATTTTTAATTAAATAGTTTACAATTATGTAATTAATTTTGATATTATATTGATATTATAAAGAAAATATGGTCTATCAATATATATCTTTGATGATATCTTTATTAATCTTAATGAGCTTGAAACATGTTATCGAAAGCATTATTTTGAATAACTTATTTCTTTACATATAATTTTAATCTAAGTTAATCTGAGTTAATCTGTTATATACAAAAATATTTTTCATATAAATAAACAAGTATATAATATTTATATATTCCTAAGACTGTTTTGAAAGTTTGATTTTAAAAACCAAAACGAATAAAAATTTTGGTATATAGAAATATTGTTTGAAATTTATTTAAAATTATTATTAGCAATTTAAATTATTAGTATTAGTTGAAGCAAGATGGCTTTATTTCTGTCTCATTTCATTTAACATAAACTTAAAATTCTTATAATTTAATAAATAAATCTTAATAGATATTTCTAAAATGACTGAATTTCTAAAATTATCTCACGAATATATTAACATTCATTCTAACATAATAATCATATAATAATCACTTCACAATCACTTATATCTAATTCAATTTGTATCATCTTATTGAAAAATCCTAATTTTTAAATTATCTTTTAATAAATTGTTATTATATTGAATTAAATAAAAATATAATCGCCTATGAGTGTGATAACAAATGATGTAATAACAAATAGCTTTTAATAAATTTAAACAATCGATGAATATTTACAATAACCAGCAATGAAATATAATTAATTTAAATTTTAAATAT